CGAGCCGCAACCTTTAAAAAGGTCAGACGGAGACACCCAGGCATCCATCCCGCAAACTTACTTATCCATAGGCATGTAATGATGAATGCCATGTAAAAGGAAATGGATCATCAAAAACTTGGGATGGTCCGGCAGGTAAAAGTCGACGTGGAACAAAAACCGGTGGAAACCGTATTCGAGCAACGTCCACACGAAATTGCCAAAGAAGAAGGACACGGCAGTTTTGAGGTACGCGCTGGCGGGGAGAGAGAAGACAAAGCCGAGAGGGAGATATGGGTTGACTTTGAAGGGCGCCAGAGGGACACCACCGAATTGCAGAAGAGAGCGCAACCCGATGTATGCCGCTATTGGCAACCAAATCGCGGGCACAACCCACCACTTGGTCCGGGTGAGCATCTAAGAAGCCTTAATGAGCTGTCAGCGCAGTATGAAGTACGACGAACCTCAAGCATTGGCGGTCCGAAGAGACGCGCGGACTCGGGAAGGTGCCTCGGTTGGTGAACTTGTTGAAGATAATACGCTTTGCTGTGGGCGAAGGAAGGTCTGTACACGGACCCGAGCTATTCGTGGAGAAAAACATGCCTGAAGTTTCCATCCCACATCTGTCTCATTAAGGGCTTCCTAAGATCCAAAAATCGATTCTTCTCGTAGTCTGCTGCTTCATCCGTGTCTTCCGGGGTGAAGTCGTCCGTAGCAACCCAGTCGTCGCTCACGACGCTCTCCCCTGCACCAAGCCTCCCAGTGAGGAACTCGTCCAACATATCATATGCGCTCTCGGAGTGCACATGCTCTTCAGCACCCTTCATCGCATCTTCGACATCCCTTCCGGCATACTTGAGGATGAGCTCTTCACCGCCGGGATGATCCGCGAGGAAGTTGGTGACGTCGAGAACTTTACCCCTGTATGTAATCCAGCAGCTGCTCTCAGAATTGTGTTGGAGAACATCTGAAGCAGTGAAAATGCGAATGCGCTTGGACATTGTGAGACAGGGATAGAGGTGGGACAATGACGGGAGGATTCAAGGTCACACCACTCGTGAATACTGCGCGTGAGATTTCCATTCTTGCACCAGATCAGACCAGCGTGCCCAAGGTCCCGGACAGATCCCGTGACATCTATACATCGGGCGCTCACTGGCAGTGCGAACGAACCACTGGCATTTGGTAGATCGACTCGGAAGGAATATTGCAAGACTCGGAAGAGACAGACAAATAACGTCGACATATTATAGATACTCATTGCACTAGACCGACCCCTTTCTCCGCGAGACCGCGACTCCACCCCCTCAAAAGATGTTTCTGTACCTTTCCACTCGCCGTCTTCGGAAGCTCGTCCGGAGTACCGTCCTCCCCAAGGAACCAAACCCACGCTGGAGCATTCTACAGGGACCGTCACCGCAGGTCTCTAAATCACCAGAAACACGCACCTGTGGGTTCATGCCGTCCCATACGATCTTCTTCACGCCTTTCCGAGATAACTTCACACCAGCCTTGGGCCTGATCCACGCACCGACTACCTCCCCACATACCTTATCTGGGACGCTAACGACCGCAGCTTCGAGGATAAATGGGTGGGATGTAAGTACATTCTCAATCTGGACAGGGAACAAGTTCTCTCCCGCTCGGATGATGATGTCCTGAATTGGGTGTGTTTAGTTTTGTTGAATTTTATGGGTCACGAAGTTGACCGCATACCTTAATTCTTCCGACGACTGTACAGTGCTACGGTCAGCAGTAAATACAAGCAATAATGTTAAAGACAGCGCACTGCGCAGATAACCGTCGCTGTCCAATGTAGCTTGATCGCCCGTATGCATCCACAATCTTCCGTTCTCGTCTTCGCGCATCACCAAGTCTGTCTGTTCGTTGTCACGCCAGTAGCTTCCCGCAGTGCAGATCAGTCAACAAACCAGACGTGCGATTGCGCGACATACCCTTTCTGAACAAGGTAACCAGACACGAGCAGTTCTCCTGGCGTGTTAACGGGAACAACGTTGCCTGCAGTGTCTACGATCTTCGCACTGACATGCGGGCGAGCCCGCCCAACTGTCTCGACACGCTGGTTTATAGTGTCTGCAGGGGTCGTTTGAAATGATACCGGACTGGTCTCGGCTGTTGGGGGAACGAGTCAATTTTTGGACATCTGTCACAAAAGTAGCGAAACATGCAAGACATACTCATTCCATACGCATTCGTCAGCTCTCGCAGGTTCAATTTTGTTATCAGCTGCTTCATGAGCTCTATCGGGACTGGCGAACCAGCGGCTATTCCTGTCCTGCGTGCGCATGTTGAGCGAGAATCGCGTACTCTAGCCTAATTGAGACGAACCTGAGCTGGCTAAAGTCGAGCCCTTCACCGGCCTGTTGCCTCCGCTCGACCTCGGCGAGAACACCCAAAAAATGGGTCGGCACGCCATGCAACGCCGTGCAGTGCTCCTTGATCACAGCATCGACTATGGCACGGGGATCATAGATCTCAGAGGCGTACACGATGGCTGAGCCATGACTCCATGCAGCGAGATTTCCGAGGACAAGGCGTGCTAGTTTCGGGATAAGCATGACCCACAGACATAAGGCAAGGATCTACTTATCAAAGCAATGGAAGAGTGGTGGTGGGTTGCAGACAACATCATTTTCCGTAAGACGCATCGCTTGACCAATCGAGATGCCATTGTTGAGGAGATTATGATGTGTAAGCTGCCAGCATTCGTTAACACGAGGCAATCATCAATTAGCAAAACCAAGATGTACAGAGACAGCCTTTGGCGCGCCAGTCGTCCCACTTCAAGTTGAACTCAGTATGCGGGCATCGTCCACTTTGATAAAACGAGAGAAAGACCTTGTGAATTGCAGGTTGATCACGTCATCCTTATCCAGAGTCTTCCTGGTTCCCTCGACAAGACGGCCTTCCTTAGAACCCCCGTCCTGCCATAGCAAGACCTCGCGAAAGTCGACAGCGCAGTGGATATCCCCTAGCATCTCGTGGAACCTCTTCGTTTGGTGGGTATTATCGATTACAACGACATGCCTAAGATCTGGCAGGGCCTCTTCTTGGATGTCCCCTGGAGAGAAACTCCGTAATGATGGGAGCGCCTCGGCCAAGAGCGTCAGGTATGACGACGTGCGAACTTGCGGTACAAGGAAAAGGTGACTGACGCCAACGAGGCGAATAGTCTCAATCTGAACAAAAGAGTCAACACGCTGGGCTGAGTGGAGACCTCCAAGTACCCTACCAGCTCCCGAATACGGTAAGCAGGATTTATGGTGACGAGGATTGCCCCGACCCTCGCACATGCCCACTGCAGCATTGCGTACGCGCTGGAAAAGAAACTGAGAATTGGTGTGTGGCTACCATAGGACACATATACCTAGTATTTCCCATAATCACGCCAACCCGATCGCCCTTCTTTACGCCCAGACCTACGAGTCCTCGGGCCAGTGCACCGATGTGACTGTCAAACTCGCCGAAGTCCCAGGCCAAGTGTCCCTCCACGCCCATGTTGCGGGACAAAGGTCCACCGTGTGCTCTAGGGCGTTCTTGTGAGCAGATGAGAGCGGGGCGCCCTGGTCGTCGTGACAATATTTCGACGGAGAAGTATTCAGGAAGAGTTCGGTTGTCGAGCGGAGGGTCGCGTGCACCCTCGACAGCAGAAAGTGTGATCAGACGGCGACGAAGGCACGATATCCCACTGGTAGGGAGTGTGTCAGCCATCGAGGGAACTTATGGGACCTGCGCGGGGTGGTTAGAAGCATCACGACCCTCTGTGCAGTGGGTCATCCACATTGGGAGCACGTGTCCTGATCACTGTCCCATGACGTAACGTGTATGATTTCCTTCGAGAGACGTGAGGAGGATATAAGCTTATAAACCAACACTCTACAAACCAACACTCGAGGAATCATGCCATCTGCACTCGTCTTGATCGCTAACGGGACAGAAGAGATGGAGTTGTCAGCCGGCTGTGATATCTGATCAGTATCGCACTCCGCTAATGATCTTTTCGCTCACTAGCACCATCGTGTATGATACCCTGGTCCGCGCTGGGGTAAAATGCACATCTGCCCTCATCACACCATCTGGGAGCGGCGAAGCTGAGCCGGGTGCCGCTCAGTGCTCCCGCGGCGTCCGCATCGTGCCGGACATCTCACAATCTCAACTCAACGCGTCCGGTGCCGTCCGTCTCGTCGTCTCTTGTTCCTCATCGGTATGTTGGTGCTTAACGTAGGTGGCGACTCCAGGATGAATACGACGCCATTATCATTCCAGGAGGGATGAAGGGCGCAGAGACGATGTCCCAATCTCCTTTTGTCCAGTCCTTGGTCAAGGACTTTTATGACAAGGGAAAACGTGTCGGAATGATCTGCGCAGGTGCGATTTGATATCAGAGAGATGGGTAGCCCTTACCAGAACTCTGCGTCAACAGGTACTCTTGTCGCGAAAACGTTCAGCTACCGCATCAACCGTTGACGTCTCATCCGTCCGTCAAGGAACACCTGGATAAAGGTAGCATCTCTCCCACCCGTTCAGATACTGTATCCATCGTACAACCTCTTTGTTTCGTAGACTTCGATTATCGCGAGGATGCGGTCGTAGTCTCTGGAAATCTCATCACCAGGTACTCAATACCATGCTTCACTGACACGAGTCTGCTGACAGTTACCACCTCCCAGCCGCGGGCCAGGCAGGTGGACACATTTTTATCGGGAACATGAACGGGCTAAGCGACTTGATCTCTTTAGGGACAGCTTTTCCTTTCGCATTTGCGCTTGTGGAAAGTCTCTGTGGGGCGCAAAAGCGTTCGGAAATCATCAGCCCCATGGTCTTCCCTTCTGGAACTCCGCTGTAGGATGTCGAAATTTAGTTATTAGCATTCATAGACGACGTCTACACAATGCTCTCTGTTGTATGTATCGAATGCCCATCCATAGCCCCGCTCCGATTCTCATGGAGGCGGGGAGAATTAAATCAGTTGTTGGAAAACAAAAAAAAACCTTTCTCGATGACCACCGCAGGGGTCGAACCTGCAATCTCCTGATCGCGACAAGTCGTAGTCAGACGCGATGCCATTTCGCCAGGCGGCCTCGTCATGACCCTTCTGCCTCAATGGATACAACATTCTACCGTCCCTGTTAATCACGAATGTGGATGCATATTACTAGTGCTGAGGATATACAACTGGACTGAGTACTGTATCTCTATGACCTACAACTCCATTTTCTCTTCCCAGCCCGGGTTCTTTTGCAGTAAAACGAACCCTTCCAACACGCTCGCGAACGGAATATATTCTTCCGTTGCGAGCTCCGCACGTTCCGTCGTCGCCAGCCGTACGGGTGTCTGATAGGTCTGGAAGCCAGAGATTGTGCGCGGTTTACCTGCCTGGCCCACGACGTCGACAGCCTAAGAGTGGGGGATGATCAGAAGGAAGGACGAAAGTTGCGTGTATGGGCTTACAGTGCCGACTCGGACCGTGACCGGCTTAGGCTCCAGCTCATCGTCAAGAGTGATAAGGAACCGTGGGTACATAGCTGGAACAAGGAAGTACAGCATCCAGTGGTACTTATCTAGCACGACTACGACGAAGATAACGTTAACCCGTTGTGTCCCCGGATTGGACAGCCATTCACTTACAGGCTTTCGCGTCTGTGAACGCCGTCAATGTTGCAAGTAAACCGGCAACCGCTGTTTTGCTAAGGATGGTCCGATCGAGGTAGAATGGGTTGATGCCGATTGTGCCCTTGCCCATGTGCACAAGGCCTTGGGCGATCCGTACCATGAAGAGGCAATCGGGTTCCTTGTGGTAGTAACCTGCCAGTTGCCGCAACATCTGTGCAAGGCGAGCATTGTTCGTACCCGCGCCGACGAGACCCATGGCAAAGATTGCGTTAAGCGCGACTGCGAGGTCGTTGTCATGGCTGTACTTCGAAAGGGTATCGAGAATAGCGAGCTGTGGATTCGAAGCGGAGACAAGACCGAGTGCTAGGGGCACGCTTTTGCGAATCACGGGATCACCGTAGTGCATCTGTAATGGGCGTGTTATAGATGGGCGATATATGAAACAGAACCGTACACACTAAATGATTGAACTGTCGAAGAGACATTTCTGCGCCGATATCCTCGCCCATGGCAACAAGCGCGATCCCCAGGACTGCGAATGCTTGGAAAGTATCGTCCTGTTTTGTGTCTGTTTTCTTCTTCTCACTATCCTGCTCTGAATCTGCTGCGGCATCCTTCGCATTCAGGTGCTCGCCGCATTGCTGCAGCATAGTTTGCACGCGGAGAACATTTCCAGTCCCGGCGAATGCGCACATCTCAACGAGAATTTGGATTTGTTTTGATGCTTGATGAGGAATTGCTTTCAGCGTTTCGATTGTCGCATCGTACGAGTCGCTCGCTTGCACGCCTATTGATGGAAGTTCAGTCCGTTTCAACGATAACATTAATGGGTCACTCACCGATATAAAGAAGCGCGAGGCCTAGTCCTAGGAAGCGGGTCCACTTCTCATCCAGCGCGCGATCCTCCCTTTCCATCAAAGTCTGGAGGATGATGCCCGCAGCATCGCCGTTTTCACTCCCAACGAATATGAGGCCAACAGCAAGCGCAGCGAGGGCGGTAATCTCCATGCTAATCTCGTCATCAGATATTAGAGGAAGTAGCATGCCAAGAATGTCCTCGCGATGCGAGCCGGCATAGGCAAAGCCCAGACCGACGATGGCGGATGTCCGGAGTGGGACGGATTTACTGGATATGTGGTCCCCAAGAAGTGCTAGCGCGGCGTCGGCTTCGGACCGAACGCCGGTATTAAGGATACCAGTAGCGAGAAATGCACCAGCCTGTGAGCGGCGTGTTAGGTGAGCCAAGGCCAAGATTGAATACAAATACGAGCCTTGATATACTCCTCGGACGAGTAGTGTATTTGTCTACATGGCTCAGACCTATATCGGTATCCCACAGTAAACTGAGACCAAGGCTCGCGGCTGCAGATAACATCCCTGTAGACAATGCGTCAGGCTGTCCAAACGGAATTAACGTTAGCATAAGCCCCATACCATGATCTTTATTCTTATAAATCCAGCTGTTCCCCTCGTCCGCGTCGACCATGAGCTTGTCATTTCCAAATCCTGCATTGACGAATGCATTGACGAAAGTGCCAGCGAGATTGCCCCTTGCCGAATCAACGCTCGCTGTTGATGATCCTGATGCCAAAGGGATAAACACAGGTGATGCCCAGTAGAGGCGGGGTCAAACGTACGCGAGGTCTCCAAGTGGGATTTATACACATCTTCTAAGCTCTTTGGGTCTTGGACGCCAAGTTCCTTCCCGAACTGTTTGAAATGTGTGCTCAGGCGTGAATTGTATAAAATTTCCTGTAGATCTTCAGGCAATTCCTCAAATGTTTCGTCCCCGTCATCATCATCGGTCGTTAGGTGTTGTAACCAGTGATATGGGACTTGCGCTCGGGCAAGGATAAAGGCCAGTTGGCGTTTCATCTGTCTACGCGACTATCAGTGAGAAGGTGTTGGTTCAATGACATGTACTCGTACGGATTGCCAGGCGCATGGAAGTCCTTACGGATGAGTTCCGAGTCATTGAGTCTGATAGCCAAAGAGAGAGCTTCAGGGAACCGCTGATGTTTCTCATATATAAGGTGTGCCGTCTTCAAGAACGCGATGTCATCTTGTGGTGGGAGCAGATTCACACATCTGGCGTTGTTGGTCAGCAACGTAGAAAGTGAGGCGACAAGGAATTACCCACGCAATCATGTACGCGGCGACGCGACTAAAGGTGTTCGCATCCACCAGATCGACGATTCGATCTACGATTTCCAGCTCTTCCAGCAAATCAACTGCATCCGGCTCGGCGTTTGTTCAAGCAGGAACTTTGCACAAACCAGAGCAAGATTGTGGAGGTCCTCTATTGTTCCGACCGAGAGCGGTATTTGAGGCTTTACCTGTTCGCCTTCCTTATCCTCCGTCGCGCTCTCGGGGCCAGCGGGACCAGCATCTGTCACGGCTTTTGGCACTTCTGTCTGATCACGAAGATTGCATTCTTCGCCGAGTTCAGCAGCCAGATGGCGAACGTATTCATGCCCCCAGTCCCCAGGGTCGGCGAGCGGGGATGTTGGGGGACACATGGAGGCTGCAAAAAGGCGGTAGCGTAATGTGCCACGAGGTTCGGTGTCGGAGTATGTCATGGCAAGTACTGAGAGTATATCCGCAAAGAGACTCTGCAAGGGCGTCAACAACTAGGGACCATCTCAGCAACTGTGGTAGGTTTGATCGCGCACCTTATCCTCAGATGGAACCCAGAGTTCATACAGGTTCTGTAGCTCTGGGTAATGGGGTCGAAGAAACTTCAGAGGTTTTGGGACAGAGGTCATGGATGAAGTAGATGTTCGGATGAGGGTACGGAGTGTCTCAAGTGCTGGCCTATACAGGGTAGTATCTGGTTCCTAGACGAAGAGTCAATCAACGACGCGGAATGAAACTGACGGCGCGCACTTTCAACCGCTCCACAAGCATCTCAAGTTCTCCTCGGAGCTGTAAATCCTCTTCCGACTGATACACAAGCTTTAACTCTAAGGTCGTGTTAGGTTAAATGCCACACACACCAGTTCCTCCCCTTCTTTCTCATCAGGCTTCCTCTTTGAAGTCGCTCCATTCTTTCATCTGATTCCTTCTTTTTCGGGTCCTTCGACGGAACAGCAATGGCAGCTTTGGTGGGCTCGGGCATTATGGATGAACGAATAAGTGAACGCGTGTCGCTCTCGCTTGCTGATTCTGACCTGACCGCGACGCGCAAGTCCCCGTGACACCGTCACGCTATGTCACACGTGTCCGTTACGTGACGCTGATCTGATCTGATCGCGGACGCCGTGAGACCGACCCCACACATGCAGAACTGAGACGCCGACGTGAAAGGCCGTCAACTTCATCATTCTATAATGTCCTTCCCTGACCCCGTGGAGACACCAGCTGCCTTCGTTAAGTATCTGAAGGCAGCCAATCTTGATTTTGGTCTCGTGGTCTTCAGACACTATCAAAACCAGCCTGGTGAGGCATCCAACAGCCGAATGGATGAATCTAAGGCTACTGACTGGTGCAAGCAGATGGTCACTTTTTTGGTATCTACCTTTTATCATTCACTCTTTCATGCTGAAAACAGAATCACATTGACAGGGTGAACTTTCTCGCATGATGCACGGCCAGCCCGTGCACCAGAGCATCTTCAGCATCTGTTTCCGGGCCACTAACGACATCGAGTGCCGACTCGCGGTACAAAAAGAAGCAGACGCCGCCGCAAAGAGGAAGCGCGAGGAGGAGGAGCGCGCTAGGCTTGAGCAAGAGCGCCTCGCCACTGAGCTGAAGAAGCGGGACCGCTTGGAAAAATCCGCAAGTTGGAACATCAGAACGCGATCAAGGCTCTGGAGCGTGACATCGCGTTGAAGACGAAGCTCCTGCAGGACGCGCAGTCTTTTGGACGTGCTTACGGCTGGGAGCAAGAGGCAGCAGTGAATGAGGAGCTGAGGTCCCTGGCTCAACCGGCACCCAAGAAGCGCAAGGTCTGCCCAACCGCCGACGCGAGCATGGTCGGGAGTCTCGACCAACTCGACGACGATGTCAGTACCTCTGCCCAGTCGCTTGGAAAGCGCCCCAGGACGTCTGCAAGCACACCGTCGAATGTGCGATTCGGCAGCGCTGTCGTCATGATACCGCCACGCAGGTCCGTGCGTGTTGCGAAGATGAGGTCGGAAAAGAGCGTTGAGGACCTGCTCCGACAATTCGCGCAGCAATTAGCCGCCCTTGGGAGGACATGCCTGGAGCTTGCGGAAGTGATGGACCAACTTGCATTAGAATATTGACTTTTGTACATCGAATATGGACTTCATCTACCTGCACACATTCATAACACCATCACCTTCAGCATCCAGTACATAGTGCGACATATACAGATAATTTCATATTGTTTTGGCTTAGTAAAAGTAAGCAATGGCATGCATATGTTGCGGGTCGTGTCGGGTGTTGGGCATTGGTACAGGCCGGGATCTAACCCAGCCGTGACCTGCAGGAGTAACACATGCGA